TCAAATTATTAACGGTTTTTGCTATTTTTCCATACCTAAATAATTTCTTTTTGCAAATATTCTCCTGAGTTTACTTAAAATTTTACACGGTAAGTGTTTTTTCATAGCTTTACTCCTTGACCCCCAAAACTTACTTTTAATGTCAAAATTCGAAAGGATTTTACTACTATTACGAGCTCCATGTTATTCTTATGGAGAATAACATTGAAATTTTAAGACTTTGGTATGCTCATTTGATTCGTTTAGAGACATGCTAGAGACTTGAAATTTGATAGTATTAAAGTATGGGATCATTAATTAACGGTAAATTATGCAAAAGACCGATTTTCAAATTTTCGACCCCCCCCCGTACAATCCAAAATGGCAGACATCTAAAAACGACAAACACACGTTTTTTTCAAACAGCTATAGCTCGAAAACGATAAAAATAGAAAAGATTTGAATGAATTTCCATGGTTAGGAATTAAATTTTCTACAAAACACTCTTAGCGTTTTTCGGAAATCGCCCGTCTTCAACTTCAAAAAACACCCTACTTTTAATATTTGGTAAATTTCTATCAAATTGTTTAAGATTTTCGCTACTTTTCCCAATCTAAGTAAATTCTTTTTGCAAATATTATTAATATTTTTTATTTACTCTGGTTTACTTAAGGTTTTATCCCCCTATCGTATTTACAACCCCCCCCCCAATGTTATTCTTACAGGTGCAAAAGTCTAAATCACGTTTACCCATTTCTAGATTAACTGGATATCTGAAATTTGGCATAATTGTAGATTTTGCGCCCTTTTCGAAAAGTGACATTTTACAAATATAACTCCCCCCCCACGATATATAGAATTCCCCCCAATGTTATTCCTACAGGTGCATCGGTCTAAATCAATTTTACCCACTTCTAGATTAGCTAAAGATCTGAAATTTGGCTCAATTGTAGGTCTTGCGCCATGGCCTATTTGTATTTACCCCCAACCAAAAAAGGGGGCCAGCGAGCCAAAGGCGAGTCATTCTATATAAATCCAAATCATGTCTTAGTAGTTTTAGGTTAATTGAAAATTTCATGTTGACAGCCTCTGAATCGCTTTTTTCAATAAGTGAATGAATGGTTTAATTACCTTTACTGTCAAAGCGATCCTTGTAGTCTTAGTAGGCTACTGCAGTTTCGATAACCTTTTCATGGTATCTTCTTCAGGCAAGGGACATCATCTTCGTTCGTTTTCACGAACACGTCATTTTGAATAAAAACCATTGAACACCATTGGACACGAACACGAAACATTTAAACGACACGTTAAACATAAACTGTACAAATACTGGGACGGCAAGAGCTTTGACAGTAAAGGTAATTAAACCATTCATTCACTAATTGAAAATAATAATTTTAGTTTTTTTTAATTAATCATAGCAGGAAAAAATTAAATGTTTTACCACTTTATTTAAATTGTAACACTTGGTCATCAGATTTTGAAAATGTTAATACTTTTATCAATGAAAATGCAATGGAGAACATTTTGATAATAGGTGATCTAAATTGTAGGATAGGGAGTGAACAAACGTTTGATTCAGTAATTTTATTAGAAGATGTAAATAGTAGTATTAGCAGCCAAAGATGTTCCAAAGATAGTTTGGTCAATGGTAGAGGAAAACAGGTTTTAGAGTTATTCGATGGCCTAGGTTTAATAGTGCTTGATGGGCGATCGAGTGGAGATAATGAGGGAAATTTTACTTTTATAGGGGCTTCAGGATGCTCAGTGATTGATTTAGCCGCTATTTCATTTAGTTGTTTAAGATGTGTGAATGACTTTAGAGTAATAGATTTCCCAGGCTCTGACCATTTACCCATTGAATGTAGCTTTAAAGTTGGTACAACTGTCGCTGAGGCAGGGGAGGGGGGGCAGGTGCTCCCTTTGTTGCCAAAACTCAGGTGGACTGAGAGTGATAACGTCGATTATCGCCAGATAGTAGCCCGTGCCATCGATAACTTGGAACTAGCAGACGACAACCAACAGAATGTAAACAACATAATTGGGTGTATCGTTGACTCAGCAAGCGTAAAGCCGACTATAGTAAATAGCGATGGTAGCACCAAAATTAATAATAAACAACCTTGGTTTGATTATGAATGTCTTACGTCGCGAAAACGGTTATTCTGGCTATTAAATTTATTTAGGAAAACTAGTTCCAAAGGAAATTAAGGATAGATATCTAGAATTGAATAAGAGCTACAAAAAGCTATGCAGTAAGAAAAAAATGATGCACTTGAGATCATTCCACACTCGCCTGCGGCTCGTGCGTAAACATTGCTCTCGTGAGTCTCGTGTGCAGCAAAGTGCCACTTTACCCACTAGTTACACAAATAACTATTTCAGACTTCGTATGACAAAGTTCTCATTATGAAAATAAAGAACAACTTGTGTTCTTTCTAGTGTTACAAGCCGCTTTCTGTTTGGGCCAAAATAAGGATTACTTTAATGGAAATAAGGTAATTTAATCTCTTGTAATATTATTTGAGAAGTAATCCAGTTTAAGGCAAAAAACAAAATATGTTTTTTGTTCTTTAAATTTTTTTATTGTGTTGTAATGTAAACCTTATGCAATATAAATCTTATGAACCTGACTGATGACAGTGACTTTGATAAAATACCCCCGCCGCAGCAAACCTGCAGACTAAGCGAATTTCCATTTGACTGATTTGATTTGTTACACTGAAATGTCTACTTACAAGTAACATTTATTCCCGATTTAAATAGAATTAGTTTAACAAGTACTTAGGTTTGCTGCATCAGGGAGGGTAAAACTTTTTTTTGTAAAATGTTAATAGTTAGTAAGAAATAAATACATTTTCCAAATTTGACCAAAATATGTTCATAAACAAGCAACTACAACAGTTTACATTCTCCTTAAGAATAACATGGGAATTTTAAATTTACAATTTTTTGGAATTTTCTCCGTAACCATTAGGCGCATAATAACGCTTCAATATACTAAATTATTTGTTTTTTTAAGCTCTACAAAATAGTTTGGAAAGAAATTGCTAAATTTTAAGTTTTTTGGGTCAAAAATGGGGAAAACCTATTTTAACCCCATAAAACCCCCCGTAAACCCCCGTTCCCATGGTCCGATCATGCTGGATCGCGAACTCGTTTGAATAAACGTAGGTTTACACGTTTATACCAAATTTCATCAAAATCGGATCATTTTTGCTCGAGTTGTATACAGGGTGTTGAAAATGTCTGGAACCAACATTATATCTGGTGAGTGGTTAAAGAAAAACAACTGATATTTTGTGTACGGATATACTATGGTTTTACCTATCTTTTGGTGCCTTATGAAATTTTTTACCACTTATAGGGAACGTCCTGTGGAGGATGCAGTAGAAAGTTTTAATGGAAGCCTATGGTAAATGATACATCATTTTAAAGGCCATTTCTTTCTTAGTAAGGAGCCACAAGTTTCATCTCAAAAGGACCACCCTAGCAAAAATGGCAACTGTTTGAAATTTAAAAACCCACTTATAGGGAACGTCCTGTGGAGGATGCAGTAAAAAAAAATAGTCGCCATTTTTGCTAGGGTGGTCCTTTTGAGATGAAACTTGTGGCTCCTTACTCAGAAAAAAAATGACCTTTAAAATGATCTATCATTTACCATAGGCTTCCATTAAAACTTTTTACTGCATACTCCACAGGACGTTCCCTAAAAGTGGGTTTTTAAATTTCAAACAGTCGCCATTTTCGCTAGGGTGGTCCTTTTGAGATGAAACTTGTGGCTCCTTACTCAGAAAAAAATTACCTTTAAAATGATGTATCATTTATCATATGCTTCCATTAAAACTTTTTACTGCATCCTCCACAGGACGTTCCCTATAAGTGGTAAAAAATTTCATAAGGCACCAAAAGATAGGTAAAACCATAGTATATCCGTACACAAAATATCAGTTGTTTTTCTTTAACCACTCACCAGATATAATGTTGGTTCCAGACATTTTCAACACCCTGTATATATATATAAATATATATAAATAGATATATATATATATATTACTAAGAAAATCAAAATACCACAGTACCCTAAAAACATTTTATTTTATAAAAAAAAAAAAGTTTTTAGGGTACTGTGGTAATTTGATTTTCTTAGTAACATTTAAAGTAGCCCTCATTGATGTATACAATAACAAAATATATATATATATATGAATTTGAACGGATGGTGTTTTTGGCCTCTAGGGACCTCAAAACGAAAAAAAAAATCGGTCCCGCGTCCAGGTCTTACCATGAGTACTACGGTAATAGCTTATTCCCTATATGGGAAATTCGCTAAAAATAAATAAATGGAATAAAAAAATATGTATTTTGATTCTTTGGATGAGCTGTTTTAATTACTAATAAAATTTTTCGAGCCATAGATAAACTATATAACTATGACTTTTTTGTAAATTATTTTTCGACTTCTTTCGATTGCTCCTGCTGACTTATTTTTTTGTTGCATTTCTATGAAAATAATTAATTGTTGACCCAGTATCAAATGTAACAGGTTAGATCCTTAATGAGTTAAGATGTTCATGTTATAGTTTGTGAATTAATTTAAAAGTAAGACAATTATGGTACCTATAGATACCATAAGGTATTAAGGTTAGGATATGTTATATAATCTAGTCTTGCTTCGAATAGTTTGAATATATAATAGCACTTACATAGAGTAAGTAAGAGTTTAAATTTTTTAACATGTGTAATACCTTTACATGAGTAAGGAGATAAATTGTAGGACTATTTAAATAAGTCATTTAAGGGGGGGAAACCGAAAAACCGAGAACCCATTTAAAAACAAAACCAATAAAATCAGCAACTAACCCATCACTATTTTTTTGTTTTATAATACCTTACATCAATTAATTATTTTTGTAGGTACAGTACTTTATAATGCTATGTTGGTTGTTTGGGAAACAGTCAGGGCAGACGTATTTCATAGAATTAGATCCAAACAAATGTTCTACTGTATTATCACTCACCAGTGTTTTATCCTCTTCTTTGTTGGCATCATCATGTTCAGAATCAATTTTATTTTGTGAGGATGGTGATTTTTCAGTCTGAAATTGAATAAAATCATATAATTAACCTCTTTAAGGAAACATTTGAATCATTGAAAGAAATGTTCTATGCATATTGGTATTCTAACTTATTCATAACATATAGGCGTGTTTTTTTTTTATTTAAATTAATGTTTGGCCTTTAAAACATTTAATATTTCTTAATAATACATAAAAAGATGTAATGTTTCATGTCACCTCATTCACTATTTATAATATTTTCTGTGTTTGTAAATGTAATTTTATAACATCTAACTGCCTGTGTTTTAAAATATATTTGAGTTCCTTTGCATAAAGTCTTATTGTTCCATCACCCCTCACAGTGGCAGTTCCAAGGGGGGGGGGGGGCTACAGGGACTATAGCCCCCACCCCTTGGACTCTGGAAAACTAATTTTAAACGTACATTTCGTCCTTAAAACACGCAATGGCATAAAACAGTCATCAATGTAGTTTTTATTAAACTTAATAAGCGATGGCAGGAGTAGTATTGAGTTCCACATAGATAAACTTTGTGGACAATAGCACAACGAATAAAACAATATGCTATGGAAAGTTGTACGCATCATTTTTACAGCAGTCAGCTGTTGACATGCTAGGGCAAAGGCGAGCGCCAAGCGGGCGAGCGAGGATGGAGAAACAGCTGATTACCTGGTGTTCAAATTCAAATTCAAATTCAAATTCTTTATTCACTCATAACATCTTACATAGTACAACGTACAAAGACAGGAGTGTCGTCAAAAATAAAAATTTAAAAAAATACTATAACTAATAAATTCACACAACTCAAAATTATTACTACTGACATCAAGTAAAAGTTACCATTATAAAAAACAACAAATAAGATAAAATCCTGCTAAAATCAATGAAAGCCATCAGGTATGTATTCAAAGTGAATTTAGTTTACAAAATTAACCCAATTCTTGTCCGTTTAGAAAACATCAGAATAGAAATCTTCTATTTTATAATATGCCTTTTCAATTAATAACTCATGTAATTTTTCTAGGAGTATGTTTTTTGGATTGTTGGTGATTCTTTTTGGAAGTTTATTAAAAATTGTTATAGCCATGTATTTTGGTGCACGTTCAAAAAGAGTTAGTCTATGTATTGGGAATTGATATAAATGTTTCTGACGTGTGGAATAGTTATGTGTAAATTTAAACTCTTCAAAATTATCTATATTGTTAATTAATAGCTTAACCATTTCAAAAATGTACATACTTGTGATGGTTAAAATCCCTAATCTTTTAAAATGAGGTCTAGAACTGTTTTTCTTTGATACTTTAACCATGGTACGTACAATTGATTTTTGTGCATTAAGAAGTTTTTTTTTTGTTTTGGGACTGGATCCCCAGAGTACTATACCATACCTTATTATAGAATCAATATAGGCACAATATACTAATTTACATACTTCCAGAGATGTTATATCAATTGTAACACTTAGTGCATAGCGAAAAGAAAGTAATTTTTTTGTTAGATATTGAATATGATCTCCCCAATTTAATTTTGAATCAATATGTATTCCTAATACTTTGTGTGAATCTGTCGGGATTAATAGGCTGCTATTTAATGCATTTGAAGAGTTTTTCCCCTTAAATTGCATAATTTGTGTTTTTGAATTATTTAACAGTAGTCCATTTTGAGAGAACCATTCCTCTAGTTCTTTTAATGATTTCTGAACAATGATTTCCAATTGATGTATTTTTGGGGCTTTTAATATAACATTTGTGTCATCTGCATACAAGAAGAGTTCGCCTGATATATTACAGTCTATATCATTAATAAATATTAAGAATAGTGTTGGCCCCAGGATGGAACCTTGAGGAACACCGTACCTGATATTATTCCATCCGGACAAGAACTTGTGGCCATCCCTATAAACTACTGTGCGTTGCTTTCTATTTGATAGGTAGTTTGAGAGAAGTTGCAATACCTGACCAACAATCTCTACTTTCTTCAGTTTGCAAATAATAGATGAGTGAACGAAGTGAACGAATCTATGTATCGTGTATAGCGGAGTCGGAGAAAAGTTGTCCGCTGGAGTATGTTTGTGTGTGTGTTCGCACTTAAAACTCAAGAACCGTTGCACTTATAGCGTTCAAATTTTGCACAAATAGTTATGACACCAGTGTAAAGACACCATTAAAATTCTAGACGATTCCGCTCAGTAGTAATTATAAAATACTTAAAAAACATGTTTAAATTTGTCCCATAAGAATAACATTAGGAGCTACCTTCTTCTTCTTTTTATTTGTTTACGTTTTGCGACCAACAATTTTGTTGTCTACTTAAGACAGAGAGAACGACTTTTACTCTAAGCTCTTTCATTCATGGAGTAAAAAGTTTGGCGTCTATGAATATATATCATTATAATTTCACAGCTTTCAGAATAATGTTATTTAAGCTAATTAAATTTCACAACTTTCATAATAATAAATTGAACTTAACAATATTAGTCGGCAGTTATATACCGTTAATGTTGAGTATTAAAATTTCGCCTTTTAATTAAAAGTATATAGGTATGTATGTATTTAGAACAAAGCAGCTTTTTACATTATTCAATTTAATGTTGACATTGAATATTAAATATTCAAAAATGTTGGTATATTTTTATACTAAAATGCTATGCGAAGGGGGGGGGACAGGTCCCCGACGTAGAGAGTAGTAAAGAAAGCGGAAAGGTTAGAAGTGAAAAGAAAGGAGTACGGAAACCCTTTATGACTGTTAAATTAATGTATCTGTGATACTTAAATGCTATGGAAAGATAGGGAAACAGGTCTACGATGTAGGAAGTAGTGAAGGAAATAGTGAAGGAAGTAGTCAAGGCGAGCGCTGCGGAGTGTGGGGGGCCTTTATGACAGTTAGAATAATGTATCTGGAATTCTAAAAATGCTATGGGAAGGGAGAGAAACAGGTCCACGACGTCGGAAGCGGTGATGGAAGTAGTCAAGGCGAGCAGTCCGGAGTGTAGAAACCCTTTGTGACAGTTAGATTAATATACCTGCAATACTAAAATGCTATAGGAAGGGAGGGAAACAGGTCCACGACGTAGGAAGTGGTAATGGAAGTAGTCGAGGCGAGCATTCTGGAGTGTAGAAACCCTTTGTGGCAGTTAGATTAGTGTAACTGCAATTCTAAAATGCTATGGGAAGGGAGGGAAACAGGTCCATGACGTAGGAAGCGGTGATGGAAGTAGTCAAGGCGAGCAGTCCGGAGTGTAGAAACCCTTTGTGACAGTTAGATTAATATACCTGCAATACTAAAATGCTATAGGAAGGGAGGGAAACAGGTCCATGACGTAGGAAGTGGTAATGGAAGTAGTCGAGGTGAGCATTCTGGAGTGTAGAAACCCTTTGTGACAGTTAGATTAGTGTAACTGCAATTCGAAAATGCTATGGGAAGGGAGGGAAACAGGTCCACGACGAAGGAAGCGGTGATGGAAGTAGTCAAGGCGAGCATTCCGGAGTGTGGGAACCCTTTGTGGCAGTTAGATTAATGTATCTGCCATAATGAAATGCTATAGGAAGGGAGGGAAACAGGTCCACGACGTAGGAAGCGGTAAAGAAAGTAGTCGAGGCGAGCATTCTGAAGTGTAGAAACCCTTTGTGACAGTTAGATTAGTGTAACTGCAATTCTAAAATGCTATAGGAATGGAGGAAAACAGGTCCACGACGTAGGAAGTGGTAATGGTAGTAGTCGAGGCGAGCAGTCCGGAGTGTAGAAACCCTTTTGACAGTTAGATTAATATACCTGCATTACTAAAATGCTATAGGAAGGGAGGGAAACAGGTCCACGAGGTAGGAAGTGGTAATTGAAGTAGTCGAGGCGAGCATTCTGGAGTGTAATAACCCTTTGTGATAGTTAGATTAATGTAACTGCAATTCTAAAATGCTATGGGAAGGGAAGGAAACAGGTCCACGACGTAGCAAGCGGTGAAGGATTTAGTCAAGGTGAGCAGTCCGGAGTGTGGGAACCCTTTGTGAAAGTTAAATTAATCTATTTGAAATTCTAAAATGCTCTAGGAAGCGAGGGAAACAGGTCCACGACGTAGGAAGTGGTGAAGGATGTAGTCAAGGTGAACAGTCCGGAGTGTGGGAACCCTTTGTGAAAGTTAAATCAATCTATTTGAAATTCTAAAATGCTATAGGAAGGGAGGGAAACAGGTCTACGACGTAGGAAGTGGTGAAGGAAATAGTCGAGGCGAGCATTCCGGAGTGTAAAAACCCTTTGTGATAATTAGAATAATGTACAGTATCTGCAATTCTAAAAATGCTATGGGAAGGGAGGGTAACAGGTCCACGACGTAAGAAGTGGTGAAGGGAGTAGTCGAGGCGAGGAGTCCGGAGTGTGGGAACCCTTTGTGACAGTTAGATTAATGTATCTGCAATAATAAAATGCTATGAGAAGAGAGGGAAACAGGTCCACGACGTAGGAAGTGGTAAAGAAAGTAGTCAAGGTGAACAGTCTAGAGTGTGGGAACTCTTTGTGACAGTTAGATTAACGTATCTGCAATAATAAAATGCTATGAGAAGAGAGGGAAACAGGAAATACATTACGTATATTACAAATGACTTTGGTTAATTAATGGACGAGAAGTTAGGATTGTTGTTGACTGAGATTTGTTTTTTTTAAGAGGTTGGTCCAGCCTCTTTTAACCTCGCCCGTGCGTGGATCGTTTACAGCAAAGCAATTGGTGAGCTGGTACAGTACAAAGGTGAACTGTACTGATAAAATTTAGTGGCAGTGACCAGGATCCGAACTCACGACATCGCTGCCTTGGGCCCGAAGTTCGCGTGACGCTACCGACTTGAGTCACCGACTCACCATTATTTGCCCCGACTCATGGGTTGATTTGCCCATACAAATAACATTATTGTGTACACCAGTGACACCGGTAAGTGTGCTAGGTGTGGGTGGACTCTTTCATTATTGCGCTCATGTTCACTCATCCTGTTACGCGCAGAATAAGCGTACTACTAGTTAGTTTGTGGTCAACACA